GCACCGACACACAGACACACACACACGCACGCACACACACACACACGCACACACACGTACACACGCGTTCACAAGAGTCAGGGGTGAGTGGAAGATGAATGGAAACGTTTAATTAGGGTTCTTTTTTTTTCTTTCTTCTCTTGCTCTGCTCACCCACTGACTCAGAGAGTGAAAGTCTGTGAAAGTGCCGCATTTTTAATTAATGAAGCATGCATGTCAGAGATAGTGTGTGTGTGCGTGCGTGTGTGTGTGTCTGTGTGTCGGTGCATGGGAGTGATTTATGGGATCTAGCAGTGCCCTTTAGGGGTCAGCTTGAGTCATGAGTCAGAGCCGGTCCGGGGCATCAGGCACGGATCTTCTTAATGCCAGGAACCAGTTTACGTTGGTGCGCTAAAATGATTTTTAAAGAAATATATAAAAAGCTGAAATTTATGAACGCACAAAGTTACATGAAAAGTTAAAGTTAAATAAAACAATTTAATGTTTGCCAAGTTGCGCAATAAAGTCAGTGCTGGCAGAAGTCGAGAAACAGAATGTGAAGTTGTTGTTTTTTTTTGTTTTTTTTCCTCAGAAACAGATTAAGTTCACGCCTTCTGTTCGAGTCCAGCTGGCGTCACGTTTTCAGAAGCCTTTCCACCGCTTAGCGGCGTTGGGAAAATGTTGAGTTGATGATGTGTGTGTCCACTGCTTCTCCTCCGCTGTAGGTTACAGCACGGTGGCGTTCGACGGGGCCGGTAATTACGGGCACACTCCTACGCACCACAGCTCGCAGTTCTCCGGCCACTCCTTCAAGCACGAAGACGCCCTAACCCAGCCGAACACAATGGGTATGTGCATGTCTGATTACATAAGGGCTACACTGTTTCAGTCTCTGGAAAACACCAAGGCCTTCGTCTGAAACTGAAAACTTTTTTCATTTTTTTTTTTTTTTTTTTTTTTTTTTCAAATACACATTTCACATGGGTTTTATTCTTGCAAGGTTAAAAAAAACTAGACAAGTCAGGTGGAGGAAATTAAATGATGTGGTGAGATAAGTGGCTTTCATAAGAGGTTTTTGGGAGTTACTTCATCACTTAGTAAAGTAATTTCCTTACATATCTGAAAAATAAACTTTCAGTCACCTGGTCATATGAAGAAGTACAATTGCCACCCTTTGTGGTGGAAC